TTTCAGTGTTGCGAAAAGGGCTGTGGATAGGATAAAACCCACGCGTCTATCTAGCAAACAATGATACCATGTAGCTAGCACAGCAGAGATATGTATTTAATTAGTTAATTTTCAGCTTTTAAATGAGAAGAGAAAAAACAAGCCATGGGTGGTCTGTAACCTCAGAAGAGCAAATATCCTGGGCTGTAAAATCATCCCCGCTCAGAATACTGGGTCAGACGTAAAAAAAGCATTTATTGAATTCTAGACCTGAGTAAGGAACAGAAGGTGCATTAAGAACTTTCAAACTGCAGCTTACCACCAATTCATCTAGTGTTCAGCATTATTTAATAAAAATGGGTTATGCATATACTTTAACTGAAACACTATTTATTCATAAACATTTTAACTAGAGCATCTGTTGGGACCTATTCACACACCAACTCAGAGATAGTTTCACGTTCTTCCTTCAAATAAATGCATGTAATTCCCACTGCTGTCTGCCTGACCTATGCTAAAGATCTGTGAGCAGAGTTTGTCCCATATGTTGCTATTAAACTGAGGATCTCAATTGCTTTATAAATTCCAAGACAATGGAATGTAATTGGCAATATATTAACATTACAGAGGTGAGAAAAATGCTATAGTTTCTGTAACAAAATTAAAGTGATTCTAGTGTCCCTATACCTGAATATCCAATCTAAAGGGATTTCTGGAAAGAATTGCACCTCTGGCTATTTTAATCAAAGAGGACAGCCTCCAGGAAGGTACAAAAAAATGGCCAGACCTTCTAGAGAACTACATGATGTTTACTGAAAAAGTAATCAGGTCATTGTTAAATGCTGAAGTGAGAGCTGAGCAGATCTGATGTTTCAGCCCAGTTCTTTGGCTTACATTAACATGACAGTAACTGCTTTCAAATTCAGAAAGTGATAATAAAGAAAATAATAATATTTACTAACAGGCACTGCTGACTGTCAGGCAGCTGTTGCAATGGGACGTTGCAGGCAGGGAATATCATCCTTTTTAGCCCTATCCATGCAGTTACTACCTACCCAAATACTTTTAAGATGCTTTGCCAGAACTTCTCGGAACCCCTTGACACTCTTATTTTCAGTGGGGGTTAGTTAAAAGGTGTTTAAGGAAGTTTATTGCTTCAGAACAGAGACTCCTCGAGAAGTCAGAGAAATTGCCTCCCCAACGCTTTCTACCCACTCACAAACAGCAGGTTCTTCTACCTTCCCCATCACCATAACATAACATCCCTACTGAAACCGCAATTTCTGACCTGGGAAAGAAGTATCCAGAACACGTTCCCTGAATTTCACTCCTTTCTGTGTAATTTCACAGCTGGAAATGAAGATAGCCAACACTGTTTGACCTGCTATTTCTCCAAGGGCCATATGTGCTCTTCAGTCCAGCAATTTGACAACTGCTGTTTTAGGACTTTGCCCTTTCTATCTTTTTTATCTTTCCTTCTGTCATCTGGTTATTTTCCATTTTTATGATATTCTTTTTTGGTAGATAATAATGCCTTTAGGATTAATGCTGGCAAGAGGGCAGGACAAAATGGCAGCACTAACTGCTTTTGTTTTAGTTAAGGTCACTGTGAGATAATTTAGGCCATATATCCAGGGCTTCATTTTCCAGCAACACTGGAAAAATCCACATAGAGTAGCAGAACTGAATGCTTCAAATCCAAATTTTTCTGAATCTGTCCTCCAGGGACATGGCTTGCAGAAAAAGATGAGGATTGTTTCAACACTCGCAGACAGGATTTGAGATAGACTGTACCAAAGACAAAGACCTGCCTTCTCTCACAGGTTTTGATTTTAAGAGCAGAATCCAGCAGAGAAAAGTCAGTCTCTCTCACTTTGCAGCCCACTCAGCTGAGCAACCTCTACTTAACAAGCTTCTCCTGGAGAAAACAGCCATGGTCAGCATGCCATGAGGCAAATATTGCCACTTTCTCTCCATGCTACTAAAAGAAGTACTGTTAATGAGATGCTCACTACGCACACATCTTTCAGAGAGGAAGGTACTGGACCTCAGTTTGGCTTTTTATTTCTCCTCATTAGCTTAAGCCTCAAGACATCCCAGAAACATTTCTCTTCTGAACGTGGCAGCAAGACAATCAGTTAAGGGAATTTGCTCCATCTCTTTCTCATTGTCCAAACTGAGGAAATGCAAAATCATCATAAATGTGAAAAACAGACCAGATTATTAAAATTCACACATTGTAAATGAAGTAATAGAGCTATTTTGCTGTATTCAATCCAAGAATATCCCTTCAAAAAAGGTTTTGTATTCCCCATTGTTTTAGGGAGCTATGAGAGAGCAGATATGGGAGGGTCTGCTGAGATCTATACATGTTAAGCATCAGTGCAATACCAGGAAATTCTGCATTTGAAAGCAAATCTCTTTTCCCAGCAGCTGAGATCCATAGTTCCTAAACGGGGAGCCCCAAATCCCTGAGGTCTCCACGAGGAGATATGCAAGATCTCTTGAGCCAAGAACTACCACTTCAAATGGTAGGAAACTACAGTAGGCACAGATATATCACAAGTTCTCTCTCTGCCCCAAGGCAATGAGAAGAGACTGGGAAGGGTACAGAAAGCTAGGTGGGAAAGGAAGAGCAGGGAGAGGCATAAAAGTCAGCAGAAAAAATTTCGGGGGAAGGCAGTGCTTGGAACAAGGTGAACAGCTCTGGACCAAGAAAGGGTGCCCAGCCAGGTAGAAGGGCAGATGGGAGGAGGCAGCCCGCAGAGCTACGCAGGAAAAGGACGAGGCATCTGCAGCCAGGGAAGAAGGGAAGGCAGCAGGGATCCAGGCACCCACGCAGCCGCACTGGGACAGCCAGGAGTGCTGCCAGCACACAGGTCTGATTGCACAAGCAGGCATGGACTGAAGAAAAGAGAAGAGAGGACTTCTGGCAGCAGGTGCACAGACTTGCAAGGAATCTCCCCAGCAAACACATTAGCCAGCAAAACCTTCTCCTTGCCAGCACTGGGGGATTTGATCTCTCGCAGATCCAATTCTGCTTGAAGGTAACAGGGCTCGTACTTATCCAGTGAAACCACTGCATCTCAGCATGCACCAATGCTGAATTGGCTCATGGTTTGATGTGGGTCTGCATCCTACCAAAGCATCCCTCCTCCTTGCTTCAAATGACCCTCTCTAACATCGACCATCACCTGTGACCTTTGCGCACAAGATCCCCAGCCCTCGGCCGGATTAACAGTGCTCCTCATATGGGAAAATTTCACGCTGCCCGAACCAGAAATGCTACAAAACTCTACAGCTGGAAGTCTTTTGAGTTGACTGGATCTTTAATATACAAAATTACATTTCTCAACAACCACAACCAAGAGCAGGTTTTCAAGGTAGATGTCCTGCCAAGTAACATCTGCAAAAGGGCACACAAGAGGGAAAAGGGAAAACAGCACAAAGCACAGTCCTGTGCCTTGTTCAAAACTCATTTAGCAGGTTCTTCAGAGAGCAGCACCTTGAGCTTATCAGCTGGGGTTTCTCTATTAGCCTGTGGCAAAGAATGCCAACAAAAGATTGTTTCTGCCTGCTTAGAGTCTGGAAACTTTACAGTAAAAATGCAAGCCACTGATGTGATTCAACATTACATTTTAAATAAAATACATCAAAGTTCTAACTAGTGCAGGTTTTCTGAATACAGTTGAGGTTATGCAACAAACTGCAGGAGGGATAATTTATTAACACAACCTTCAAGTTCATCAGGTTTTGCTTTTAATCAAGGATGATGCCTCCACCTGGGGGTACACAATGCTTAAAGCAAAGAGCTGAGGTAAGTGCCTAAGTGGAAGCTGGCAAATGAGGGGTTCAGGTTGCTTTCTTCAGTTTAGGACCTAAATTCTCCCCACATCTCATTTTAAGTGTTAACACACGTGCTCTGGATGCCTCAGTTCTTGTCCTCTCACTCAAGAGCCTGCTTTCAAGCAAATCTACCCTTGCTGCAGCATCTTAATTCACAGAATACCTTTCAGAGCAACATTTGAACTAGCTTGAAAAAAACAACATAATATATTACCTTATACTATGAAGCCAAAATGTCTTCTGTCTTTACCAGCTCATTGTTTCCTCTATTGGTAAGCACATATGACAGTGAAAGAAGTTTTGTGCCAGGCTTAACTGCAACAAATTAAAGCTTTTCCCCTGACAGTCATTTTTCCCTATTGAATTGTTTGTATTACAGCTCTCATTTCCTACAGCTAAGTAGTGACGAAACCCTTTTCAAGGCTGGCTTCTTTAAGCACATTTGGAAAGTTTACTCTCTATTATGGGGAAGGCTGACTATCAGGGAAGTACTTGTATCAGCATGCAAAAATTCCTATAGGTATGTGCTATAAATTCTTGCTTCCACCAAAGACTTTTCTATGAATATGCTTAAAGAACTAGCTTTGCTGTAGCTCAAAGGAAATTTTCAGAGGAATCTTCCTCCTGCATTTGGAGAGAAAAAAGAATAACAACGTACACTTTCCTCTACCCATCTCTAGAAGATGCTGGAACTCCCCTAGGTTTAAGAGGGCTTGCAAGGACTATAGTGATATTTTAGACCGTTTAAAATAAACAACAATAACAATTTTAAAGAGCTTACTAGGGAAACAAGACGGTATTTCTCACTAGCCTCAAGAAAAATTTCATCATTCTATGCAATACACTGAGTGTAATTTTCCAAGATCTGCTTTTACTGAAGAAAAGTATTGGGAGAAGACAAAAAAAAAAGTTGTCCTGAACACAGGACAACTGGTCATGGATGATTGCGCATAGGTCTATTCTAGCTGATATTTACTTTACCCACAAAAAAAACAAAACCAAAAAATGCCCACCACATATTGCCAAGGAAAGAAAAAGATTACATGGGCAACAGTGAGTTTTCACAACTGAAACAAGGTATTTCTGACCTGAGAAGGGCTCAGTGCTGCTTTTGCTTTAATTAGGAGAGTGTTTTTAAAGATGCTAAAACCTGAAGCCTGTAAACAAGTACTTACATAATCATCCTCATGCAGCCCTTGCTTCTGAACAGAACTTTTCACCTCCAAGGAAAACTTCTCAAACTCAGGTTTCACTGTTCTTAGCAGAGTGACAGTCTGGAGGTATGAGTATGCTTTCTTGGCTTCAAGGTCATGTTTGTCTCCTCTTTTCCAAGAGCCATTTCCTAGGAGGAAAACAAACATATCTCCAACACCAAATTGGGCACCATTAAAGGATCATCTTCCTTTTTCCATCAGAAAGACCCCTCTCCTTTCCCTAGGGGAGACAGCGAAGTATGAGGAAGAACTGAACCCACTCGAGGAAGTGCAGGAAGCAGGGCAAAGAGCAACGGCTGATGTGACAGCTGTGAAGTAAACATGCAAACAGAAAGACAACTTTACTCCCATGCTGCACTTGCTTATTTTTAAAGGGTGGACTCAAGTCTAAGCATGAGAAGACATCTCCCAGCAAAAAACATGCCAGATCTCAAACACAGAGATATTTAACTTGGAACAAGCAAAGGAGGGTCTGATCACAAAGCTTTTGTGCCATATCACCCCAGTGACGCTCTTTTCAGTCTTGGGCAGTCAGAAAGACGCCAGAAAATATAATAGCATAATCATCAGCCTGCACGAGAGCCAGATCGTATAGTTACTTCTCCCATAGCAGTCAAGGAGAAAGCCACGTGCACAATGGCTGCCAGACGAAGCCTGCTCCTAATGGAGGAGAAATACTTACAAATAAATGGGATTTTGCCTATGCTGTATTTACATGTGTTCTGCATCACAGCAGGGAAATGATTCAACTCAGACCACCAATAGAGTAATCAGATTTTTAAAAGTAGAACAGCTGACTGGTTGTTAATTAACAAAAGCAGCCCTTCTGCCTCATGGGGCCTGACCCTAACAGATCCGGAGACTCTGATCCAAAGCTTCATGAGATCAGTGGAAAGATTCACATTGACCTGGATCAGGTTTTGTGCTATTCTACATAAATGATAACTAGAGGGGCCTAGCGCAGGTCTAGAAGAGTAGTAGTCCTAAACAGTGTGCCTTTAAATACTTACAAGCAAAAGCTAGACAATCATTTTATTTTTGGAACAATAACAACAAAAACTCATGGCTAAATGTGCAAAAGTGAAGACTGTGCAACATGCTAAGTTCTGAAGGGTAACCTGCAGGACCATGAGATGAGGGAGGATGTGGCTATCCTGCTTGGTTAAAGGACCTTAATCATGGTGCTGTTTGGACCAAGAGAAGTGAACGCTTTAGGAGAGAAGATGCTAATAGAGACAGAGCCCAGGCACCAAACCTTCAGTGCTCCTTGCACTGCACTCCAGGCTGCACTGAGCATCTGTGGGGGCGGGACTTCATGGACAGACCCCCAAGTCCTCCCAAAGCAGGTGATTACAGAGCCTGTGTTTCACCCTCTCTGGTACCCAGACACTGCTGTTAGGACTTTTTTTTTTTTTTTGGACACTGAAGACAATTCGGGAATTGCTCTCCTTCCTCAGAGAGCACAGGGAAAATAAAGAAGGAACTGTGCTCTTCAAGAGAGCAACTCTTTCCTCATGCTGCTTTTGCCTCTACGGCAGCTCCCGTCACTCCCAGCAAGGGAGGCAAGGCACAGTTCCAGTTAAGCCCTAAGAATGATTCACGTTAAATGGAAACTCCCTTTAGTTCTCTTCAACCCCAGGAAATCCTTATTTACCACAGGTCAGTACTGGCAAGGATTGCCATATTTACAAAATTCATATATGACCTTCTTTGCTTGTTTATTTATTTGCCAGCTATTTTTTGGAGCTCTTCTGCTCTCTTATGAATAAATTCTAGACACTTCTGCCTTGGTCTAAGCATTTTTTTCCTCAATTCAAAGATAAACTGGTCAAGATTATTTATGCCAGGACTCCATTCATCAGACCTGACACTGGACAGCAACGAACATCCCGCAGTTGAACATGCTACTAACATGATCACAGTCAGTGGTAGCACTCTTCCTTTTAACATGCGCACTCTGTCCTTGTTCCTGCTTTCCAAAAGACAGACATGCACGTCCAGCAAGAGAAACCTAGCTCAACGGACAAAGCTAACACCTGAAGAGCTCAGTCCATATGTGGAAAAAGAAGGTAGGCACCTGAGCCACCAGCGTAACTATGGGTGGCTTCCTTTTGAGAGGGCACAAGCCTTGCCAGAGCACTGAAGCTCAGAAACTTCTCCCCCAGCCAGTTACTTGCATTTCAGAGGTACAGCACTTCAGTAGGATACCCTAAAGATTATAATATCGTGGGCTTTGCTATGACTCTGCATTTACCAATGGATATGGCTGAAAAGGGTGGAGTTACATACAAAACACTGGTAGCGCCGGTAGAACGTGAATAAATTTCTGTCCTGTACACTATACCTACTGATTTTTAAACAAACTGACAGTGGGAATAGGGAGGCTAAACTTGCATAACAGAGCTCCTAGAATAATTTACATATTTAAATTCCTTCATGGATAATTTTATGGGATGTAGTCTTGCTCCAGTACTTAACTGCAATTGTTGCAGCCTTGACATTTAATAAGTCTGCTCTTCTGGAATATTAAAAATATTCACAACAGAGGGCAATAACAAAATACAGTCACATGAACTTGGTTTGGGGAAATGTTGATTTGTCAGTCACAGACTTAGATTATGTATCTTTTGTAATTCCACTATCTCAAGACACTGGGAAGATGCAAGTTAGGGGGAATTTCTCCACATTTCTCTGTTTGTTTGCTTTTTGCATGTGATGACCATCTGCATAAAGTCATTTTGCTCCTCATGGGAAACACAATCACAAAAAAGGAGAAAAACTTTTTCTGAAGAATTCTGTCAGTGTTAGGAAATGCCACAATTTAACAATACTATATCAGAAGGTAGACAGTTGTAACTATTTACTTTGAAAAACTACAAGTAGACTGGACTTCCTACGACCCAAGGAGGACAATGCTGAGGTCCTCACACAACCATGGGCCATACGTGGCCCCCAGCACAGCACCTTGTGGAGGTCCCCCACCAGAACAGCACAGCGCTGCCCAGTAATTGGCTGAACAAGTGCTGTCTACCAGTGGCTGCATCACTGCAGACACCCATCCCAGTGCAACACTGCCTCCTGCAACCACCTAGCAAATACTGTCATGGAACACGAACTGATTGCAAAATGCAGTGTCCCAACTCCTGTAGCTGCTGCACTCATTGGTCTCCGTTCTCAAAGAGGACTTTGGGTAGCATTTGTCCAGCCAGCTTTGGTGCTTCCCTGGTAGACCTCCAGAGCTGAGCTAGTCACCCTAGGATCTGCTTACAGCCAAGGCAAAGAAATAGTGAGCTTTAGGGAATGATTAATCTGAGCCATTTCAGACATCTAAGGTTGAGGTGAATCACTGTGCAGGAGTGCCTGTTTCTCTCCTGTGACCCTAAGGGGAACCTAGCTCAGAGGCAGACTTGTATCTGCGGTCAGATGAATCACATCTGACATTCATTCTGTGAGATGAAATATAGCAGCTCAGCTGTAACGAGACAGTACCAGAAGCTGGAGCAGTTACTGATCAGCAGTGTCTAGGCACAGGTGGGTTTTTTTTTTAAAAAAAAAAAAAAGAAAAAAAAGGTCTGCCAAACTCCTAGGGTCTACAGAAGAGCTGAAACTTCAGGGTTCTGTGACTGATGATATGGGTAAAACCTCCAGCTTTTTACCCTGGTCCTGATTAGGGCCAAATGGTTTCACTTATGTCACAAGGAATGAAATCACTGCAAATTTAGATCAGCAAACACATAACCTGGATTTGAACTATTGGTTTGGATCTGGTTCTGTAATTTTACTTTTTAGTTATTTCAGTAATTTTCTTATTAGCTGGTGGAATTTGGCACTGCTTTAGCTAACCTAAGAGATACGTAGCTATATCTGTACTTCTGTAAGTATCTATAACTCTGAATTCAAACAACCACATATGCTTATCATAGAGCTTTTTGACAAAGAGGGCTAGTTATTGTAAAGTGATCTCAGAGATCCTAGACGGATAATCAAAAGTTTATTTAAAAGATTTTCACTTAAGAATAACTTACCTATTAAACAAAACACATCATCCTTTTGCATATTCACTTGCTTATGTTCATAAGCTTTTTAGAGCCTTAAAAGAAGAAAATAAGTTTTCCTTCTTTTTCAACTCCTACTTGGTCTTCAATTTTAAACGAATTTGTTATCGTACTGGATTAGTTAAGGCAGCCTGCAGGGGGGAAATTATTTTCTCTGCACCTGCAAAAGAGACGGCTCTTTCAAAAGCCAGCACTTTGGCACTTCAATAAAGTCTAGTTCTCAGGCAGGTACTTCCCTCAGCTTCAGCAATCCGAAGTTGTTTAAAACTGTGAGCATGCACGTTGCTCAAGTACTAACTTTAATTTAACTGAGACAGCTGTTAACAGCTGACAGCAGGTTTGGTCTCTACCATGCACTACCATAAAAACAAATGTAACTGAATGTGGGTATAGTTCAAAAAGCAAATGAATTTAATTTACATTTTTGAAGTCTTGTTCTAACTTCACAAATCTGATCATTTTTCCTTAAAAAATAAGGGGTGAAGTCATCACTTTTATCCATCCTACTTTAGTATATCTGGACTGCTTGTGTCCCGTCCATCATCTCCCCTTCAATGCAACACTGCTGAATATTTTTGCAGAATCCGTTTGCGATCTAAAGCTGAAACAAATGAGACGCATGGATCCCTGGCAGAGACAAGAGGTGGAAACCCAGGTCCTGCAGCTCATCTGTGGAGCTCCTGCATGACAACTCTGCCCACGGCCTGGCCATCATTGGTGCCTCTTCTCAGCCAGCCGCGTGGACCACAGCCCACCAGGGAGCCCCAAGTCCTCCTGGCCTAAAATTTGCAATCACAGGGCTTAGCACAACTAACCTAGAACTGAGCACACACAACGCAATGCGAGGTGCAGACAACTGGCTGCTATGACCAACCTCTCTGCTTGATGCTGCTTCCCCTAAAACTAACTAAATAAATAATCCCCATACTAGAGTCATGCTACATCTTGTGATCCACCCAGTGGTAACTATAGCTAAATAAAAAATTAATGTCTATTTTCTTTCCTGCAATATCATAGCCCAAGTAGAAGGTAATTACAATAAAAGGGAGAGACAGTATTGTATTCTGAGATTCAGTAGGGCATATTTTGAGGCTAACAAATCTAAAAACATTACCAGATTTACAGAAAACCTTGCAACATACTTGAAGAACAAAAACATTACCATATGACGAGCTGTTGAAGAGTTCAATATTGAAGAAAGCATAGTCCCCATTGGTCATTCCTTGCCGGTGAGCAGCTAACATGATGTTCCTGATTGTGTCACCGCTGGCACACATGATTACAACTAGTGGAGAAAAATGGAAAATACAGATAAGATGCAGTTCAAGAACTTTCGAGAACAGTCTGTTAAGTATGTACGCTGCCAGAGACAATGACCCAAACTGTTCTCCTAATGTTGCAACAAACAGGACAGCTCAGCTAGCAAATAAAGCTGATTTCCCAGAGTCCAAAGACGACAGGTACCAAACACAGAGCAACTTTATACTCCCTTATCTCCTCTGATAAGGGATTCAAAAAAAAAAATCTATGACATAATATTTTACTCCTGCAACATGCAATGAAGAGCTGGCTTTGAATTTGTTCAACTGTATATATTCATAAAGTTAATTGCAACAATAAGCCACTGGCAGCTTCACAGGGAAGATAAGACAATCTGAAGATGAGGAACAAAGATGATGCAGTGATATTACCATTTTAGTTTCCAGTCCATTGACCAGTTTGATGTTGATTCATCTCACCTACACCTCAGCTGCCTCAAGCGTAGACATCTAGTCTAAAATTTCTTGACCAGGGGTCCCGCACAGTCAATGGAGAGCAATATCTCTGCAGCTGATTTATTCCATCCTAAGGCAATTTTCTAGGGTCAATGATATGAATCTCTCCAGCAGATGACTTTCTCTCCGACAATACAATGAGCTTAGGCAACTACCTTTGACTGGATGCTTAAATGTTGGCTACAAATGGGGGGGGGGGGGGGAGAGCGTCCCACGTGCATGGAGACAAAAGGCGATTACAAGACGAAATGCCACAAGGCCTTGTTTGTCACGGACCAAAGGCTTAACAGGGGCTTATGTCTTGCAAAGGAATCTACAAGCCGGCAGACGCGCTCCATGGAGAAGTGTGATCCATATAATGACAACTCAAAGCTCAGGTAACAAAGCCTCCAGGTACCCTCCCAGCAACCTCCACGTCACTGCAGATCTCTAGCACAGCAGCCCAGCTCACTTTCTGCCTGGCAGGGGAGAGGAGACCATGCAGGCACAGCCCTATTGTTACCAAGTGCCCAAACAGCTGCCAGTGATTCTCAAGGGTGAAAAGAGCTTCAGACAACCCAACTAAAAGCCTGCCTGGCACCGGAGCCATCAATCTCAAGCATGCAAGACAAATTCACCATGTCCCATCCTGAAAGATGCTGCAGCAGGGGCTCGGGAGGTCAGGGTGGTCTGCTCTCTGCCATGTGACAGCTGCAGGCTCTGCGCAGCCCAGCGTCCTGCCGCTGCCCTACCACATCAACTCTAGCGAGCTGGTCTGTGCAAGACCCCTCCACGAGGCAGCAGACCCCCAGTGCATTGTTCCATGTTCATCTAAGGATGTTTGAGAGGTCACTTCCCCAACGCGCTGGGCATGGCAAACTACCTCTTGTTCCCCCTTCCCTCTGCAAGGAAAAGGGATAATCTCAAGCTTGACCTTCAACAGTGGGTAGATACCTCCCACATTGAGCACTCTACATCACCAACTTTTATATGCATTCACAGGACTATGGGTATGAAGCTATAACATCAGATGGTGCCGTGAAGTATTGTATCAATGCACGTTTCGTGGCTATATGCTATAGCAGAGTCATAAGAGAACTTGTCAGAACAATGATTCAAAACCAACTGCACACACATTTCCAGGAATGCTGTCACGCATGGCAGGACTTAAACTACAATAATGTACGCAAATATTTTCACCCAAACAATAAAACTGAATCAGAACCACATTCAGCTTCTCTGGTTAGAAGTGTTCGTTATTGTTAAAAAAAATGAAAAGGCCAAATAGGCCAAATCTTTTCTCACACAATGAATCTTCTCCCATCACTTTTCTGGTTTTATGCCATCACAGGCATAAAGTTCCAGATGCGGCCCTGGTATAAATCACATTCTGTTAAATCCACACACTTCAGGAAAGTTATACCATGCATACCTCTGTCCAGCTGATTATTGCAGAGTAATAATAATAATTTCCAGAGTCACAGAGCAAGACGTATTTCATGACTATTATGAGGTATCAACATGAAGGAAAAGAAAAAGAAACAATTCTTGTAATAAAATTTGGATCAAATTGTTCCTAATTTCAGTATAGGTGAGAGATTTCCTTCTGAAATGTTTCCTTGCTGTCCTCCCAAATCTCCCTTGACTTGCCTTTATAATTCATACCTATCATAAAATTATAATCTGTAGATGGAAATCAAAGCAATTCCCCTAACATCAGTAAAAGATCTTGGGAAAAAAAGAAATAAAGAAAAATGGAGGGAAAAAAATCTACTTTAAAATACATTAAGTCACGTTTTGTAAGCCTCTGAAGGAACGTAAGGAAACTATTAACTATTTGGATGTGGTTTTTAACCCAGCAGGAGAGCAAAGATTACATATTTCAAGATTTTGGGGCAAATTAGCTATGGTCAGATCTCTTGCAATCTTCCAAAAATGTAAATTATGCTTACTTAATCTGCATCTGTACATTACTGCTGTATACATACAAATGTACACATGCACACACACAGTGCTTTCCCTCTGGTATTAAATACACATAAAGTAATTCTAATACTAATACTTTGAATTTATTGACAAAGATTATTGACTCATTCTGCAAACACTTAGTGTAAAAATTCCAGTAAGAAGAGAGCCTTAAAGGAGTAAGTGTCCCCTTTGCTACGCACTTGCCTCCTTACACAAAAGGTGTGTTTAAGCACAGCGTGGGGTTCATGACCACCGCAGCGAAAATGAGCCTTCAAAAGTGAGGTTCAGTGATTAATGACATTCATTAAAGACAGGTGGTTAACTTCTATCACCATATTTTTCATCATGATTTTGTTGCGGCTCCAAGGCTTGAGGCTTTTGAAATGGCTCCAGGGCCTGGACAAGCATTTCTGGCAAACACTTCGTGCAGCCAAGCGCATCCCTGGCTCCTGACCCCAGGGCCCAGGCTCCAGCCCTGACAGCTCTGCGCAAACCCCATCCGTTGGGGATTTAACCCCCTGGGCCAGCCCGGGACACTCGCAGGCCTGGCAGCTCCAGCCAGGGGTGATGGCAGGTCACATAGAGCAGGTAACACACCTTAAGACTCCTCCAGTCAGAGTCGCTAGAAGATGGCTAGCAAAGCGCAAGATTCGTATCCGATGGGGCAACTTCTTTCTGAGCCAGAAGACAGTTTCTAGCAGGCATCCCATATCTGTTTTAAAGTCTGCTCCTATACCTTGTTGCTAAGGGAAGTGCCACCGTCCAGGTGGCATCACCACCAGCAGGGATACGAGATGATGTCTTGCCTGTACATTTGTGCAGGCAAGGGAGAGGGTGTAGAGTCAGAGCATGGGACAATGTCACCATAGGTGTGACACCGTAGGCCCTAAAAACCGATCAAAAGAAGTAGAGAGGAAGTAATTTGGATAGCACCACACAAACACCTTGCCCACGAGCTACACTACCCCATCAGGTGACCTTCAAGGAGTCCCAAGGAGAAATGAAGATCTAAGCTGGTAAGCTAAGGTGCATGGTGGATCCTTGTCACGATAAATGACTTATAAGATATTTTGATGGCCTTAGCGTTGTGGGCAGCAGGACCACCACTTAGGCCAAAAGGGATGCGCAAGGCAAGGCAAGGCAGGCCATAGAGTCAGGACTGCACAAACAGAGGTGGAAGGGTCTCACTTACTGCATTTAGCAGTAGCAGCATGAACCAAAGGACATATGAAAACAGGTGAGACGGAGGGGGAGGACCACCCCATGCACAAAGGGAGAAAGTAGTAACACAGAGGGCTGCTTTAACCCAGTTATTAGCAAATTAAAGAATGATATTGAAAAGCAAGACCAAGCTCAAATGTTTTGTTGAGCTGGGACGTTGTTAAGTGTAGTAGAAAGCAAACCTCTCTGCCCTGGCTCTTGACACAGGGATAGAGAGCAGAGCTTGCCTTTAGCCATCACTCATGATCCAACAGCACAGCCAGAGCTCCCTTTGGCTAAGTATTAAAACTTATGTTTTCTTGCCATAATCTTATTTTTATGCTCTTAGCATCAGGAAAGGCAAACATGCACATAACTTAGGTTGATTTAAAAAAAAAAAAAAATCTTTCCATACTTGGTTTCCTCTAGCACTTACAAGTTTCTTTCTCTTCATTCACTACATTGTCCCAAACAGTACTTACAGGAAAGGTACATTTCAAGCACCTGCTTAAGTATTTTCACAAAGAGGATTAAAGATCCATCTGTTATTAGACAAATATGGTCCTGTGCATATTAAGGAATTTCACATCAACATGACATCACTAGTGCAAAGCTGGACTGTTAAAGCACTGCAGCCTACAGCATGGTGACATGAGTTCTGTCAGCCATACAGAGCACGATTTATATCTGCTCAGTTTTTACACTATTTTAAGATTCTACAACTAGGGATGTAAGAAGAGTATAAAATATTTTTAACATCTATGTCTCTACTGAAACACAGCTAAGGACTTTCTCTAACTTGATCTCTAAGATTCTGCTGCTGAAATACACCCTTTTTGCCACAAGTTATTAAAGAAATCTATAGCTGGTAAAGCCTCTAACAGAAAATACCTTTTTTTGATGAGCCCCCATATCTGTGCATCACTTGGCAAGACCTCATTTCAAATTTGTAATTAAATGTATTTTAAACGCTCCAAAGTACTTCAAGCATTTTATTACTTCATGCATCCAGCCCAGGGGTGATTTTCCAACAAGTTTTACAAGCCATTTATCTCCACAGTGTTTTGCTAACAGTTGGTGGCAATATTACTGCACGCACTCGACAGTTTAGAGTTCACACATTCCCTGACACGACCGCTTCCACAAAATGTATTTGTTATTCATGAAGCACTCAACGGGGCCCCTCATAGCAGCAGTGGGGAGAAAGATCGCCACGGCAAGACACAGCAGGGCAAGAAGAAAACATCTCCGCTCAGCCTTTGAACTCACACACAGTCACTTAAAACAATCTCACAGAACGAGCAACGGATTTGCTGCTCCGCATCTGTGGGTGGACGCACGTGATTTCAGTCTTGGTGTCACAGCTTACCCCGGGGAGAAAGCCAATTTCTTGTTACACCACCAAAGCATCCTAATAAAAACCACCAAGGGCGACTCCCTCCCCTCCCCGCAAGGGCAAGCATTAGCAGGCTGCACTCATGGGCAGCTGGTCCCACTCTGGTGGCCACCTTCTCCCAACAGGTAGAGAAGCGACATCCCTTCTGGAAAGCCCTCCCTGCCCAGTGTCCCCGCATCGATCCTGAGCGGCGGCAGGGACGTTTTTGGGCATGAAGCCGAGCTTGGCGTGCCTTGAAGCCCTGGCCTCGCCCCAGGAGAGCGGTGGGCGGGAGGAGAGCAGAAGTGCAGCCAGCCTCACGTCAACGTGAAGCGAGACCGGAGGTGAGACCCCTCCGCCCCATCCCCACCTGCCCCGCGGACTCACCCCGCTCGCCAGCCTGCAGGGAGCGGACCAAGTCGTCGAGGTCGAGGTGGCGGCTGATCTCGTAGAACGTGA